TTTTGATTTAAGTGACAAATTCTTTTGTTTGAAACTAGAACTAGAATGTCATATAAATCTAGGAATTTGGACTCTGGTGTACACAGTAGATGGCCCACTTGGAGCCTTTTAGTCTTTCATGTCCAGTTTTATGGAAGGTATTTCCAAAAGGTCAAGGGGCACTTGGAGAGGATGTGGAGAAAACCAACAGGAAAAACAATAATAGGCAGGGTCTTGTTTATGGAACTGCCCTGCACAGCGCCACTCCAGATGAATGCTTAATAAATGCCTTTCGGTGCTGACCGCTCCCTGGTGTGCCATCTGCAGCAGTACATGAGGACTGGGGGCAGGGAAGGACTAGCATCCACTTCCTGTTAATGATTCTTTCATCTGACCCTCCCAGTAGCCCTGGCAAATTGACAGCCACTGTGTAAGAATTGTAACCATGCCAACTGTAACTGGGGATTGCACTTTGAAAGCTCGTGAAGTTCCACAGACAGTGGTCATTGCCTTGTATCTTCCCATTGTGGGAATGTGATCTCCGCTGATGGAATTGTGCAGTGCACAGCCTGGGCAGCTGTCCATGACTATCCTGTCTACAAGATGGATTTTATCCCTTTTTGTTTTTTTTAAACAAGTCACATGTGGCCCACCAAGGTTAGAGGGCTTGCCAAGGGCACATAGCTAGGATTAGCAGAAGCTGGATCTGAACACAGATAACACCCGGAGAATAGCTGCTCCTGCACCTGGCTGCCTCTCACTGTCGGGTGAAACAGATTCAGGCAAATGAAAATAGGATGAGGCAGAGAATGTTCAGGGCTGCGAGAGACAAAGGCTGAGACGAGATCAAGGAGGGAGCAAGTCATTCTGACTTGGGAGGCTTGGGCAGGCCTCATGGAGGACAGATTGAGCAGGTCCTTGGCCGAGTTGGGGGCAGGGCACCCAGAAGCCATTTTACCACATTGTTTTGCGGCCTTGTCCCTCAGCCACATCCCAGCTGCAGCTGCGCCTCATCCGCAAGCTGACAACTCACACCCATAATTCATTCATAAACATTTATTTCTATCTAAATCAGCAACCGAATGCATCCATTGGTGGTGGTGCGGGCGCTGTGCAAGGCACTGATCCACTTTGTGGGCTGGCACAGGGAGGCTGGCTGTGCAGTTTTGATGGCCCTGTTTGAGGAAATTAAGTGCCCTAAGCGGTTGCTTCATAGCCGTTTTCCAAGGTGGAAAAGCAACATTGTTTGCCTGTGCTGCACAGATAAGGCTGACTCGGGAGCTCTGCTTTCTCCAGCTTAGAAGAAAGGTCGGGCTTCCCTAGTGGGCTTCTGTGTGGGGAAACATACGTGGATGATGATGATGATGATGATGATTCCAATAATCATAAGAGCCCCTAACATTTAGTATTTATTTATTAGACATATTATATCCTCCAGGGCCTGTGCTAAGTATCGACGAGAAGTCCCATCTTCTCTTACTTAGGGTTCGATTCTGAAGTCAGCATGGAAGAGGCAGAAACTTGGATGTAGCCAAAATCCCCCCCGATGGTCCCTTGAAATTGTCCAAAACTTCCAGAGTTTGTGTATGCTTCAGAATAATAGTGCTCTGTAAAAATAAAACAGTGTGACTTTGCATAAATGTATTATCAGTCTGTCTCTCCCCTCATTCCCCAGCAGGGATATTGAGCATAGGTATTGGGAGAATCACACAGTGTTCCGGGTTATTTCTCTCTCATCCTTTTTTTCCCCTTCTTTTAATCACCAAACTCATCTGTACGAGGAATTGAACTCCCCTGACTTCAGTGTTCTTTTAACGCAACCGCACTCTCTCATGTCATACTTAATAGCACTTCTCCGAGGCTACAGTTCTACTGCTGTGTTTCTACAGAGGAGGAGACTGAGGCTCCGAGAAGTTTAGACAAGGTCCTGAGACTGCACAGCTCACAGACTGTGGAGCCAGGATGCACGCCCTAGGTGGGCCAACTCCAGCGCACACCAGCTGTCAGCTGGGAAGGCAGGAACTTTCTCCCCGGGGTTCTGCCGTGCCCCGTGCAGTGACCTCCTTAGACCCCCTCAGCTACCGCACTTGAGTTTCAGACCCAACTAATGGACCAGCTATTACCCACTTGGGCCTCACTTTTAACAATAAGTGTTTCAACCAGTCCAGCCCTGAGATTTAGCAGCTGATACTGTATGCACATTAAACACCAAATGATTGTTAACATATTTATTGAAGCTTAACAGGCATCCAATATATGAAAGATGACTCTCTTATATGGCTGTCAGACCTCAATAAACATGTTTAATACTTAATTGGCATTAAGGAAACATAATCGTGCAATTCTAAATTAAGTGCTCAGTGAAGCATATTGGGAATGGAAAACCACAGTGTTTTATTACTTAAAGTTCAGGCGGTCAGTATGGCTTTTCATAGACCAAGAAAAATACCCTGCGTTTGAAGACACGACCTGAGCCTCCTGTTGGCCTCATACCGAAAGGCAGGAATTTTCTTGTTCCTAGACCCTTGGATCTGATAGACATTTTTTAATTTGGCTTGCTGTTTGCCTTCCTGTGTATCTACTTTTGGGGATCTGATGTCCCAAGCCAAGAGCTATGTGATGTGATAAGGTTTTGCATATCAGCTTTCAGTGGAATTGCCAGTTTCGCTACAAATTTGTTCTGTGAAGTCACTGCAAATGACTAGACTAGTGAATACTGAGCCATTGCTCCTAGGAGAAGTGCAAGATGAGGTTCCTTTAAGCCTCTGGTCACAACATTTTTGCCAAGTTGATCAGTCATAACCTTGTTTTATGTGTGTTTCTGTTTAAAGTAACCTTATTTGACATATATGGTTAATTCATGAACAGTGAACTGAGTTCAACAGCACCGTCACTCATGCCTGGAGGAAGCTTCTTTACACACCTATCATCTCCATTAGGTACTTACTATTTAGAGCACTAAGTACAAGCACTTCCAGCACTTCAGCACTACACCTGGGGGCCACTTTAAACAGCAAAGTCACCAGTGCAAAGCATAAAAATGTGACAAATGTAGCGACACGCACTAGATCCTGAAAGGGACATTTGTTTGCAATCCAAGGGCTGAAACAAGAAGGCAGAATGTGGCCTTGTTTGACCTCCGTGGGAATGTGTGTGTCAGGCGACTCTAATTTTTTGCCACTCTCTGCATGTCTGACAATGACCATGAAAGCACTACAAATATTGATTTTGGAGTTAAAAATAACTTTCAGCAAGTAAGCAGATTCACAAATTCAGAATCCATGGATAATGAGGATCGAGTGTAACCAGATTCCAGCAAGTGCAGCCATCTGCACATCTAAGCGTCCTGCATCTTCTGCCTGCCTTTGCACGGTCTGTTCCACCTGCCTGGGACACTGTCCACCCAGTCCCAGTGGTGCTTTTGCTCTTGGTAGGGACACAGTAAATATTTGTGGAGTTCAACTGCGTACTTTTCAAATAAGGACCCAAAGTAAGTGTCATTTGAAAATGCACTTTACTTTTCTTTAGTCATCATTTCTTTCAAAGTTCCTTGCTGTTATTTATTATTTCAATTTAGTTAATATTCTCCCTTGGCTTGAATTAACTTCCTATCTCTCACCTGCCCATAAATCCTTCAGAGACTCTGAAAATTAAGCCATTTTCTCGACTGGCAACGAATCCCTTAAGATTCATGCAGAAACAAGGAAGAGCATGCCCCCCGCAGGCACTCCGGCTGGGTCAGATCTGTGTGACAGTGTAAAACTGTCCCCAGCATCCCATTCATATATGAAACCCATCCACATCGTCCCTACACGGAGGTGTGGAATCAGACTTAAAACTTCCATGAAAGAAACATTGGGAAGCGCTGCTGTAACTTTTGAAAGTCACTGTTCAGTGGCGATCCTTGGCGTTGTGATGGGCAGGTAGGGTGCTCTGAGACCATTGGGGTCTTCATGGGCCTCTCACACCATTTCCATTGCAGCCCCAAGACGGTTTGGAGCTGCAGGTGAGGTCTTGGCTCTGGAGTCCAGGAAAGCTATGGGTTCTGCAGGTTCCTTTGGAAAATTATGTTTTGGAAAACTGGAATTTTACTCCTGAGGATTTTAAAACATAAATAAAGGTATATTCTGAAATTCATGCAGTGAATAAATCTTTTAGAAGTTAGAAAGTAACAAGCAGAAAGCAACAGTCTCACCATCACCAAAATATACACATTTTAAATATTTGAGTGCATTTGGTCATTTTCTGTGTATGTGTGTGTGTGTGTGTGTGAGAGAGAGAGAGAGAGAGAGAGAGAGAGCGAGAGAAAGAGAGTTCTTAGTATAATTTTAGTCATACTGCATAGAAACATTAGTATTCTTTTTCCCTCCATTTAACATGGCATCATAAACATGTCTTCTGCTGTTACCTAGTTCACATAATAAGCCTCATTTCAGACCGCTGCAAATAGGCCACTTGACTGGTTGCACTGTGGTTTGCTAAGCATTCTACTACTGCTAAGCATTGTTTTTAGTTAGTTTTTTTTTTTTTTAACTCTGTAAATAACAGTGCAGTCCACTTTTGGATATTTTCCTAAAGTTAGCAGTCTGGGATTATTTTTAGCCCAGATTTTTAGAAGTAGAGTTACTGGGTCATTGGGTGGGGACATTTTTAAGGCTCTTGATAACATCACCTCACTGTTGACGCGTGTGGGAGTGTGCCCATCTCAGCAGATCATCCAGCATTGGGTTATGATTTTTGAATCTTGGCTAAATGTTAATGGGAACCCTGTAGCAATGCTCCACCAGACATCCAGCTTAGAGTGCCTGGGCCTTAAAGAGTGTGTACATGTGTATACTAAATACAATCTATATTTTTAATTTTTAAAAAAATTGATGTCACTAGCAAGTAATTGTTTTGCACTTTCCCCAGCATTTCTTGAAAGTGTCTTATCTCCCAAAAGTTTCTTAGTGTCCTTTGGTTTTTATTTGGATCTGTTTATTCTCTGTCCCTTTTGCTTTTTCTACCAATGGACAATGCAGCTCTTGAGGATGACGATTGCTAAACAAAGGCTCGGAGATGAAGAAATCGGCGTGCGACACTTTGCAGCCCATGAGCGTGAAGACTTGGTTCAGCAGCTGGAGAGAGCTAAGGAACAGGTTCTCACCAACATTTATTCAGAGTGGGGGATGCGTTTGCACAGCTGGACACAACACACACAAGAGTGGACCATGCTGTGTCCCATTTCTCAGAGTGTGGGATGCCTGGGATGCATGTTGAATGCCTTTACTTACTCGGCACTGCACTAGGGTCCCAAGCTGACTCTTGGGTTTCTGGTCTCCAGCAGGCAGGTCTGCTCCCTGACATTGGGTACCATTGTTCTGAACACAACAAGAAACCTTCCTCCTACCCAGGATAGACAGGGAGAGAACAACACGTGACAAACTGGCCTTACTTTGCAAGTTTCTGCTAAAATGCTGAGCAAATGCCTTTTCGGCAAAATCTCAACAAGTGCAGAGCCCTAGTTAGGTAAAAACTAAGAGAGCCTGGGCTTCCTTTCCTCCTCTTACTAACTGAAGAGCAGAACAAGATTTCTGGGTCTAGAGCAGATTTGAAAAAGTGTGGATCTGTCAGACGCTGGCAGCTGCAGGGCACCCTAAAGAAGGCGAGGTTCTGTTCTGGTTTTCCAAGCTGCTGCACCTCTCCTATCTTAGATATAATATGCGTCTGGCCGGAAGTTGTCCTCTCGCTTTTAGCTGTTACCGCATCCCAGTGTGTGGGGCTTATGGTTTTAGGGCATGCGGCTGGTATTAATAAGTTTTGTAAAAATCAGTCAACCAAGTGGGAGGCTCCATCTCTAGCTGTAAAGCCGGTGCCTGAGGAACATCTTGAGTAGGGGCTCTCCCTGTGGTTTCAGATTGAGTCTCTGGAGCACGACCTGCAGGCCTCTGTGGACGAGCTTCAGGATGTTAAGGAAGAACGGTCTTCCTACCAGGACAAAGTGGAGAGGCTCAACCAAGAGCTGAACCATATCCTGAGTGGGCATGAGAACCGCATCATTGACGTGGATGCCCTGTGCATGGAGAACAGGCAAGTGGCCAGGCCCAGGCCTGTGCATGGGAAGAAGGCTGGCTCTGTATAGGCCTGCAGGCTGGGAGTTATTTGCAGACCTATTTATTTTGGAGAAAATTGCCTTGTAAGTGAAAAGAAACTCACTCCCCCCAAAATGATGACATCGATGCTATTTATTAGTTGCGATATAACTAATTACAACTAGCATATGGAAAAGAAAGCAGCCACACCTATATAGCGACACACATTCCTCTCCCTTCTCATTCCCTACACCTTCCTTGGTAGGTCGAGAAGGGCCAGGAACCCGTGAGAGTTGCTTGTTATTGCCATCAAGGAGAAAGAAAAGAATAAGAAAATAAATTGAGAAATTCCCTTAGCTGTTTCTTTTCCTTGAGGCAAATTTCAGTATGTGTGTGTCTAACTTAATGTTATGTCTGGTGGTGCCTCTTCCTGCCTCTCTTCCCCGTGGAATCATCTTAATGAGAATTATGTGAAAACTGTGTTGATATCCCTTAGGGGAACTCTGCGAGGGCTGTTTTAAAGTGGGGTGTCTGTGATTTGGGCATGTTTCACCTTGACTGCATTCATTTAAGAAGGCCATGAAGATGCATGTGGCTCTCCTCTCTCGTGAGCAGGTGAGGTGTTAAGTGTAAGAGATAGCTCTTCTGGCAAGTGGGTTTTGTTTTTCCTCTTAGACATCAGTGTTTGTTTAGCTCTCAAACACTTCTGAGTTTTATGTATTCTTTTCCAGGTACCTTCAAGAGAGATTAAAGCAACTCCATGAAGAGGTCAACCTCTTGAAATCAAACATTGCCAAATACAAGGTAGCAAAATCATAAAGACAATGATGGTGATTCACTATTGTGCCTCTAAATGTCATTCTATTTTAATTCCCTTTTATGTACCAAAGGTATCTTAGTACTTGCCTGCCCTCCCAGATAGAGTCTACTAAAAGCTTTAACTGGGTAACCAGCAAAAATTAAAATCCCAAACAACAAAAAAACCACAGCAGCTTTTCGCAAAAGCTCCTTCTGCGGCTGTTATCCAGGCAAGGCATGGCCACCCAGGGTGTGTTTTAGCGCCTGGTATAGCCTCTCCACCAGAATCTGGACATTGAATCTTGCCTACCACACAGCCTTGGTCCATTTGCAATTAGGTTTCTTATCCGTTTCCTCTATAACATGTTCAGTCGTCAGATGCTGTTTCTCTCATAATCATCCATAAGAAAACGGTTTCCGAGTGATGAAGAAACAAATACTGGGAAGTCACAGTCTAAAGCATAATGTTCATGTCACACTGCAAGGACGAATGTTTAAATTCTCCCCACTGTTACTTAGTCTAATTCCAGCACCATTAGTTTGATAATATCTATTTCTGCAGATGTTAGTTGTAAGTGTTATAATTAGAAAAATCTCCTGGGTTTCTCTGCCTGGAAAATAGATTGATTTCTCTTCCTGAGGGTGAAGTTTTACAGCCGTCTAGATGCTTGGAAGAACCTTATTTTCCTGGCTTTTGACATTAGCATTTGTTCTTGCAAGTCTCCATGCTGTTCTTCCTTTCCACGTTGTGGGGGCCACGCATTATACCATCTATCTATATGCATTCAGCCAAAGAAGAATATAGCCTTTAAGGTTGTATAATTAATACATATTTTTTAAACGTATGGATGCATTCATTTAACAACATTTATTCAGTTCTCTGTGCCAAGCACTGGCTAGATTTACATATCAATTTTAATGTAAGTCTGTTCTAGAAATGACATGTAGGTGGCACATATGTACTTCCTTAATCTGTAGCCATGGCAGACATCACTAATTGATCATAGCTGTCTTTCCTTCCAGAAATCACCATTGGTCCATGAAAATAAGTCTAGTCACCATCTCAAGTCTATTCAGAAGGAATTTTCATTGCTAGTGACTTCACATTAGACTACATTCTTGCTTCAGATTTTATTTAACATGTATTAAGTGCTTTTTGTATACAGGGGACTGTAATTGCTATCATTCTGCCATATACCACCTTTGGAAAAAAAAGACTATTTGCCAGGCCATAAAAATTATAACTCTTGGGTGTAGACTTGGAATTCTAAATATTAGGCTAGCACTTGGAGTTTGCAAGGGGATCTTGTGTGCCGTTGGGAGGGGGCAACTGCTAGATGCTTTTCCATTGCTGGCTTTTCTGACAGGCTTTTTTCTATCCCAATCCTGTTTTAGAATGCTCTTGAGAGACGGAAAAACTCGAAGGGCCAGGGTAAATCCAGCAGCAGTGCTCTGACAGGAGTCCTGTCTGCAAAGCAAGGTAGGATATCGTGCTTCAGGACAGACCACTCACAAGCGTACTACAGCTGCGAGGCCACATCCCATCCAGGTTGCTCCTTTTGTGGATTGGGAAGCAAGACGATCCATAGCAGGGTGGCTCCCCAGCTTGCACATGCGTCGGAGCTGCCAAGAGGGCCTGTTAAAACACAGATGACTGGTTCTACCCCAGAGTTTCTGAGTCATAGGTTTGGGATGTGACCTGAGGATATGGATTTTTAAAAAGTTCCCAGGCAATGCTGACACTGGTTCAGGGACTCTACTTTGGGAACCACTGCATTCAAGGTTTTTCTAATGACTAGACCCCATTGAGGCATATTCCCCTAGACTGTGCTCTCTTTTCCAGAATGTTCTCCCTTTCCTAATCACCAACTCAGCGTCTCCAAGGATGTGTTTCAACCTCCTTGAATATCTCCTTTTTTCCCCGGCCTCTACGGTCAGGAAAGTCTTCTAGCTGCTGAAATCATTTTCTCACATAACATGTGCCTTTTTCGAAGAAGCTTTTATTGATTGCAATTTTGTTCCTCCTTCTTGTCGATTCCAATGAAAAATAATGATCTTCCAGGAACAGTCCGGGGGAATAAATAGCAGCACACTGGCTTCTGACACTTAATATTCAGAATTCAGTGCTAAACATAAGTCTTGAGTTGAACGTGCTCAGCCGGCCCACTTTTTGGTTGTTGATAGCGCAGACCAACAGCTATCATACGGCAGTCTTAATCAGCACTACTGTGGCTTAAAAAAAAGTGCTGAGTCTCCGGCCTACATAACAACCAAGGCTCTTTTCCAAGCAACTTCTTTTTTCCACTCAACCAGAAAAGAACACCCTAAAATTGTTTTTAAAAAGAAAACTACAATACTCTATAAAAATGCGAAGTAGCCCATCTAAGTTTAGCTCTGGGTACCAAATATAGCGAACCATATTTGAATGTTGATACCCAGTGTTATCATTGATGTGGGGAATGCCAGCCACACTCAGACACAGTGGCAGAACCATGAATCTGGCACAGCCTTTCCAGAAAATCTGTCATAAAAAGCATCCTATCAACAACCTATTGGTATTGGTAAATGAAATCTATGACTCTATGGCAGCATGCTATGGAAAGCCTTAAACTGGCCCCCTGTGATCCAACAGAAAACAATTACAGACATGCAGATATTTTGCCACAAGACAGTTCTTCATACATTACTGATAATAAGAAATATTGGAAACATCATGAATGTCTAGCAGTAGTTAAATAATTCTATATCTGTTTTTTGTTTGGTTTTGTTTTTTGAGGCAGTCTCACTCTGTCACCTTGACTGGAGTACAGTGGCGTGATCTTGGTTTACTGTAACCCCTGCCTCCTGGGTTCAAGCAATTCTCCTGCCTCAGCTTCCTGAGTAGCTGGGACTATAGATGCGTGCCACAATGCCCAGCTAATTTTTGTATTGTTAGTAGAGACGGGGTTCCACTATGTTGTCCAGGTTGATCTCGAACTCCTGACATCAGGTGATCTGCTCACCTCAGCCTCCCAGAGTGCTAGGATTATAGGCATGAGCCACCACACCCAGCCAAATAATTCTGTATCTATACATGGACTACTAAAGCAGCCATCCGATTTTATGTTTTAAGGAATATTAATGATGAGTATTATTGAGTGAAAAAAGCAGGTTTCTTTTTCCATTTTTGAAGGAAAACTTGTTTGAATTTGCATATCTGTAGAGAAGATATACAATGTGAGATTTATACTATTTTTTTTATGTCTTGTAGGAATACCAGTGGTTGTTGTCTTTTTGTTTAACTCTTACTTTATCTCCTACTGAAGAGTGCATTTGAAAAACCCAAAGCAGACTTGAAGAACAGCCACTCAGAGTCAGAGAGGATGCATGCACAGGAGCATCTGAGGAGCAAAACACTGGGAGAAAAAGCAGGAGTTGCAGATGTAGATTGGAGCCATGCTGTAGATGGATGGGGCTGGTGGCTTCTGAGAGCAGTTTAAGCCAGTTCAATCCCAGCCAAACATAAATGGGGAAGCATAGTTGTAACAGTATCACATGTGAAAAAGTCACAGATGTTTTAGTAGGTAGTATTGTCATATTACTCATTAATAGTGTTTTACTACCAAAGAAGCTAAGGACATCTTACATTCTATTTACAGAAATACGAAATTTGGGATAAAGGAGGTGATAGTCCTACTATGTGCTAAGCTAGTCATACCACACTGTAATATTCCTTTATATATTTGTAAGTGGCATGCAGACAAATTAGGAGTTTCTTTAAAATAGACACTTTGGAAACTGAACAAAAATATAATTTTCTGTCAGAGCCATTCAGAGATGACTGGAGATGTTAACAGACTCATCCAGGGCAGGATATGCGCAAGGGGTGGGTCTCTCTCATGCGGGTCTCAGTCCTTCAGTTACATGGAACTGTGGATGTTGACTGGCTTTCATTTTGAACTTGGCGGTGAATGGGATCTGGCAGTTTGTGGAGGAACAAGCATCCAAGAACAGCTAGCTTTTGCGCGTGCTCTCCCAATATTTAGATGTTCGCAGTCTGCTATGTAACTTTTTGCCCTATCGTTGTGCTACCTTGGTATTGTTGGCTTAATATTTTTCTTTAAGTCAATTTTAAAGTGACTCATTCTACTTGGCCTTATCCTATGTAGTAGCACCTGCGAAATCACTGGTTTATGATGTCATTTATATATTTTTCTAGAATACCTTCAAACAAACGCATAGCTATTAAAATACAAAGCATATTTGGCATTTAAATAATCTCCTAAATTATCTTACCACCTGCCAGGGGTATCACACCGTGGGAAACTCTGACGTAAAGCAAGGTGCTCGTAGCTAGGAGTCATTGTCATTTGAGTGTGATCTTCAGCCAATGTTCTTAACCCATCTGTGCCTTGCTTTGCCCATGAAATGGCAAAAAAAAAAAAAACAAAAAAACGATATTTTGTAGGGTTTCTTTTCCCCCAGTTTTAAGACTTTATGAGTTAGGCATTCATTATGAAAGTGTTTAAAATATTAGACAAATGCAAATGTTATCCTCTTAAAAACTGCTGATAAAAGTCCTGAGAACTTCCTCCTCTCTGTTTAGTTCTCACACTGGATTTTGCTTTGTTGTGTTGACACTGGAGGTGGACTCTCAGTACACATAGTAGCATTTTGAAGCAGGGGACATATCATTATCCAGGAAGGATTGACACCAGTTTGCATTCCAGCGTTTCAGAAGAATGATGACTGAGTTACGTATTTTATGTCCTATCTAGTTCAGGATCTGCTATCTGAGGATCACGGATGCAGCCTCCCAGCTACTCCACAGTCCATTTCTGACCTGAAATCTCTGGCAACAGCCCTGCTGGAAACAATCCACGAGAAAAACATGGTCATTCAGCACCAGCGGCAAACCAACAAGTAGGTGGCCAAACTCTTGGGTTGGGGGGTGCGTGCAAAGGAAGTGGGACCAGGCTACCAGAAGTGAATGTCAACCAGGTGGAGCCACAGACCTGCAGAGAAGGTGAGACCCCTCAAATCAGGAAGCAAACTTACTAAACTAGGAGGGTGCATCTGCTTTATATCAGCATCTTGGCTACCAGCTGGAGCCAAGCACGGAGAGTACCAGCCATATTGAATGCTTCCTCTGAGCTACTCACTGAGTAGTATGCACTTCGTGGACGAGTTCCATAAAATAATTGCCTAAGTGACTTGACCCCCCTCTCCTCCAGCTCTCCTTTTACAGGGGAAACTGACTCAGTGCCATTTGAAACTCCCAGCATGACTTTGAGGGTCTTTGAATGGCAGAGACCACCCAAGCATCAACTTCCATAGGCTGCTGGGCTCAGAAAAGAATCTCATGTCACTCTTCCAGATCAGCAAAAAAGATGGTGAAAAGGAAGAGTAATTAAAATGGAATGTCTCATTTGGTTTTTATAGCATGTTGACTATGTTATGTAAAACCAAGCAAGTTAAAGATGGTTAAAGCAGCCATTAGAGATGAGAGTCCATTATCGAGAGTGTTCAGAGAATGGCGAAGACACAATAAGTTAAAGTAGCAAGTACTACACATGGGGTTGGCGTTGTGGGCATGCAACCTGTGCTCAGAAGGACCCCACATGAGGTCTGATCCTCCGCTGTCACCATCTTGAAATTCTTAGTCGTTTTTTAAACAAGAGGGCCCCACATTTTTATTTTGCACTGGACCCTACAAAGTATATAGCTGGTCTTGCTTGCAAGACAGATGTACACCCAGAACGTTCCCAAAATGCAAGTGTGAGAGAACTGCACGGGGCCTAGGAAGTCAGGCTTCAAGTGACAAAGGGAGGGACCAGAGAACTGGGGGCCTGGCGAACGCAGGAGCACGGGAGAGAGACAAGTGGAAAATGATTGAAAGTATTATAAAAACAAAATAGAAAAAAGAGAAGCTGGAGTGAAGGGAAGATCGCACCAGAGATGAAGATGTATGTGGAAGAAAGCGGAAAGCAGCAAAGGGAAGCAGGGCAATCTCGAAGGGATGACAAGGGTAATTTATTGACAGGAGAAGGTTTAAACATTCTTGAAAAAATGAAATCTTAACCAAGGAATGAAAAGCCAGGTGCTGAAATGCAGATGCTTCTCAGGGGAGGAAGAAGGAATGGGCATCCCCCGCAGCAAGAAACGTCCTCCGTGAGCTGGCTTCATCCTTCTCTCTCTACAGAACACCTCATCTTTCAAGCTTTCTCAGGTCTTCCAAACCCTGGTCCGTTCTGAGCAGGTGACCTCAGTTCCTCATTCACTGAGAAAACAGGTCTTCTCGCCATGAGCCCCTCGACCTGCGGCTGCCCTGAAACCAGTGTCTCCCCATGTTCTGCTCACTCCTGCCTCCAGGAAACACACCAGCCCACCATCTTGTTGGTCCATGACATCTTCCCTCTTCTGGGCTTCTGCTCCCCTGGGACCTCCTCTCTCATCCTCATCAACCTCTTCCCTTCCTCTGGCTTTTGCCTCTTTGCCCTGAACCTCCAAACCCTTTCCACCATCCTGCTGCCTTCCCCAAAATTCCACCAGCCTGGAATGTTTGTGAAGAAGGCCTCTTCTCCTTCTTCAATAGCCACCCTATTGAAGTGTGTTCTGGGAGGTCATTTATGTTGGAATTGCTTGGGTGCAGGGACCTGGGGGGCACTTGTTTATAAATGCAGATTCAAAGGGATTTGTGGGAGGGAAGGTCAGAATTCTGGATTTTAGTAAGTTCCAGGTGAGTCCCTGCACAGGACAGAAAGATGACCTTGGCTTTAATGCCTCCCAAAACCTCCTCCTACATGTCCCATGACATTCTTCCTTTGCTGGCCACTGGTATCCCCAAACTCTACTTTCTTCTTTAATTTTTTCACATCGAGATTTTCATCTTGAAATCCAAGTAAGATGGGCTCCAAGGGAGAAACTCCGACTCTCTCCACTGTCTCGTTTCCTTTTCCCACCTCTTCCCTCACCCCCACCCCAGGCCCAGTCCATCTTTTCTCTCTGTCTCCTGTGCTTTTCCTCCCACCTGGGGGACCTCATTCTCTGTCTCTGTCTTGGCCTCTCACTCTCTGCAGACTCTTCCCAGATCTCTTGTCCCCACCACCCTGTCAAGAGCAAGACCAAGACCCACGTTTCCAACTCTGGTTGCTGGTTTCTCCAGGTATCCTTTCAGCTGCTCAAACTCCAGCAGTCAACATCCATTCCCTAGTAGGTTTCAAATATGGCTGTTCCCTCTGAACATCACTTCTTCCTTGGGGAGACCCTCCCATAGCTCCATCCTCAGACCCCAGCCCGACCTTCCCTGACTCACCCACCTGCCAGCTACAGCCACCAGCCTTCCCTGCAAAGCAGGCTGAACCCCCATTGCCTGCGAAAGGCAGCATCCACAGGCTGTCAGCCTGACATGCCTCTGCAGAGGACTCCAGGCTCCCCTGACAGATTGATTTCCTAATGTGTTCCTAACCATACCCGCTGCAGACACGCGCATTCCCCAGGTTCACAGCACTCTCTCCCTCCATCGAGAAAGACCAACATTTTCGTTTGACCATGTTTATTTTTGTTTCCATGCACTTTTTCATGTTTATTTTAAAATAATTTTTGAGCCATCCTCTGGGGCTTTTTTTTTTTTTTTTTTTTTTTACAGAGTCTCACTCTGTTGCCCAGGCTGGAGTGCAGTGGCACAATCTTGGCTCACTGCAACCTCTGCCTCCTGGGTTCAAGCAATCTTCGCGCCTCAGCCTTCCTCGTAGCCGGGACCACAGGCTCATGCCACGATGCCTAACAAATCTTTTGTATTTTTTTTAGTAGAGATGGGGTTTCATCATGTTGCCCAGGCTGGTCTTGAACTCCTCACCTGAACTGATTCACGTGCCTTGGCCTCCCAAAGTGCTGGGATTACAGATATGAGCCACCATGCCCGGCCCCTATAGTTTTAATTTTAATATTAATTTAAGGTTAAACTACAATGTATTTCCAAACGACTCCCAGCTACCTTAATACTCTTCCTGAAAGAAACATCCATTCCTCATTTATTTCCTATTCTTCCAAAGCATGCCTAGACAGTGTAAGCAAGTGCACAGTACGTTTATGTGTATACACATAAAGTCATATGTTTGCATAGATATGTTGTCTTTCTTCTTGTTTACAAATAGTAACTGATATTCTTTTTTTTTTTTTTTTTTTTGGGACAGAGTCTCACTCTGTCGCTTAAGCTGGAGTGCAGTGGCGCGATCTCGGCTCACTGCAACCTCCACCTCCTGGGTTTAAGCAATTCTCCTGCTTTAGCCTCCCGAGTAGCTGGGACTACAGGCACACACCGCTACGACTGGCTAATTTTTTGTATTTTAGTAGAGATCTGGTTTTATCTTGTTGCCCAGACTAGTCACCAAGCTCTTGAGCTCAGGCAATCTGACTGCCTCCGCTTTCCAAAGTGCTGGGATTACAGGTGTGAACCACCACACCCAGCCAGTATTCATTTTTTAAAAAGGTTTATGTTTTCATTGTTCTGCACCTTGAATTTTTTCCCCCTGTAATGATGGATCTTGGAGATTGCTTCATATCAGTATATACGTTGCCTGTTGTGCCATATTTAATACTTAGAAGGTCCTCTGTTTCATACTTTTAATAAATGTTTTATTTGGGGGCATGTAAGGGAACTAATTATACTACAAATGGAATGAGGGCTGAGAGTAGAATGAGACCTTGGTCTGTGTGCATTCTCCCCCTCGAGTTAGCCTTACATAACTAAAATAATAAAATAGCTTTTGGAATATACTGGAACCCACCCTGGTCTCTGTGTGCATGCCCCAATTGCCATCTTAGAAAAAATAATAATAATTAATTAATTAAAAAAAGAAAAGAACTTGTTTTGTTTTGCTGGAGCGTTATAAATAGTAGGGCAGGTGTCCTTCCTGGCAGCGTGCGCTCCCCTGCTGCTTTCCACTGCCTGACAGTTACCGCCCTTGAGAGGCACCAGTGGGAGCCATCTCACTGAATTGATGAAGAAACCTAGGACTTTACATCTTGAGCGACGTTCAATTAATAGACAATTTGCTTGAGATACTTCTTGCCAGCAAGTTGGCAGTTGCCTGTTGATGGAGAAAGAACGGATGTGAGGTTCATTTGTCTTTTGAACTGGGTGGCAAAGCATTCATGGAAGAGGCCGGTGTTCATGTGGTGTTTCACTGCGCACCACATTTAGTTCTCCCGACCTTCTTTCCAGGCTCATGCCTTGCCATGGCTGAGGGTGATGGTGAACATATGAAGACATATTGGCCTTTTGCTATGTTTCCTGCTATGCCTGAAACCGTTTCGTCTTCTCTTTCCCTGGCCAATGGTAAATGAACTTGGAAGTTCAGTATCTTGGGGAGCAGCAGCAAGATGGTGTCATGGATCCAGAGCAGAAATGCGGAAGGAGGCTACCTGGGGTGGGAGGAGGTGGGGGCGTCTCCAGGTATGTAGAGACACAGTTACTTCCCCTTTAGAGCCAGGCTTTCCTTAAAGACCCTCACTCAGGTACTCCTGCTGTCTGTATTGTCCAGAGAGCAAGCACAGTAGTGCAGTTTCTGTGTGAGTTCTGTCTTCGCAGACTCCTCATCCCGCCTTCAGTGATGTCATTATTATCTAAAACACTGCAGGGAAGCCATCTGGAGGCCTAGAGTCCTGAGAGCTTTCTCTAAACTACTAGGTAGATATATGCTAAAATCTCCCCCAGAACAACCCATAGCTAAATAAAAACTTTAAAACATTAAAATCCCCCTCATCCTGCAAGAAAACAAAACCAAAACCCTTGCCCAAGCCTGAGTATGCCTCAAGCTACTGCCCTGGTTGTCTCCTGCTCGTCACTGCTAAGCTACCGGAAGAGCTGGCTCTATTCACTTTTCACATAGTATGCTTCTGTCTCAGCCCTGTCCCTTGGATTCCAGATTTCATCCCCCCTACTGTCCTGAAACATCTCTCCTTCAAAGGTCAGGCATCTTCTAAGCTGCCTCTTCTCAACTCCCATCCTGCATGACTACTTTCTAGAATAAGACAATACTGATCACCCCTTCTCATCTGTACCCTTCTCCACCTGGCTTCCAAGGTGGCACGTTGTCCTGACTGTCCTCTGGCCCCTGCCCTGTTCCTTCTGACTCCGCACCCTCTGGTGGTGAGCTGCTGGCTCCGCTCCCCCAGCCTGCCCTCTCAGAGCTTTGCCTTTCTTCCTGCGTCCAGTGTGTCTGCACAGAACTCTCACAGGCATCTCACTCATCTACCTCCTTGTTATTGCCCCATTCCTGTAGCACCCCTGCATCCACTGGCTTGGTTTGGACCATATCGTCCCCAACCTGGATGATGCTCTTCTAACTAATCTGTTTCTACTCACATTCCTTCTATTCCATTCTCAATTAGGCATCAAGAATACTTTGCCTAAACTTCCTTATGCTGCTTTATTGCTTAAAACCCTTCACTCAGCTGGCATGGTGGCTCACGCCTGTAATCCCAGCACTTTGGGAGGCCGAGGTGGGCTGATCACGAGGTCAGGAGTTCAAGACCAGCCTGGCCAATAAGGTGAACCCTGTCTCTACTAAAAATGCAAAAATTAGCCGGGTGTGGTGGCATGCACCTGTAATCCCAGCTACTCAGGAGGCTGAGGCAGGAGAATTGCTTGAACCCAGGAGGTGGAGGTTGCAGTGAGCCGAGATCATGCCACTGCACTTCAGCCTGGATGACAGAGTGAGACTTCGTCTCTTAAAAAATAAAAAAATAAAATAAAACAAAAAGCCCTTCACTCTCTCCCCATTGCCAACATAGAAAAGTCTGAATGTTCTCAGTAGAGTAGGTAGGTCTTTCATGGTCTGGGTTCCTACCGGTCTCTCTAGATTGATCTTACACTTAGCTCTTCATTTCTGCACTACAGTTTTAATAAGCACACATGTATTTTCAAGCCTGTGTTCTTACCTGGCTGCTCTGCTTGCCAGCTGCGTAAGCCTGAATTAGGTAACCTCTCTGAGTCTGTTTTCTCATCTACAACTGATGCATCAGTTGCTGCAGGACAAGAAGAAGTGTGTGTGCATACCTGGTACACAAGTGATGCATACGCACCAGCTGGTATTAAAGCCTGCCACTGCACTGTCCTTGTATGTGTTTGTGTATCACTCTGTCTCCCACCAGACAGGGACAGGCTCGTGATGCAGGGACAGACTCTCCTCCCCATTATCCTCTACAGCCTGTAGCATAGTGCTTTACAGAGTTGGATCTCAGGAATCGTCTGTTGCATTGGTCAAACTGACTTGAATGGACTCGGCTCCTACTTCTTCTCTCTCCACCTATCTGTGCTGCTGGCCACTAAGACGCAAATAGCCACTCTTTTCTCCGTGGTCTGTGTCACACCAGGTTCAGCGGGCTCCCTGCCATGTTCTTTCAGTGTGAAGTTAACAGATACTCTCTTTGCCACATGAAGCACTGTGGCTTGTATTCTGCAAGTCACCTGTGACCACATCCATATTTCAACATGAACAGTTTCTAAGAAGTATTCCATGTAGACATGAAAAAGAAGATGAAAAAGTTTGTTTTTGTTGTTATTTGTTTGTTTTTTGAGATGGAGTCTCGCTCTGTCCCCCAGGCTGGAGTGCAGTGGGCGAGCTCAGCTCATTGCAACCTCTGCCACCCAAGTTCAAGCAATTCTCCTGCCTCAGCCTCTGGAGTAGCTGAGACTACAGGCACATGCCACCACACTCAGCTAATTTTTGCATTTTTAGTAGGGACAGGGTTTCTCCTTATTGGCCAGGCAGGTCTTGAACTCCTGACCTCGTGATCAGCCCATCTTGGCCTCCCAAAGTGCTGGGATTACAGGTGGGCGCCACCGCACCCAGCTGAGAAGGTTTATTTTAAAGTGCCATTATAAGGTATTGGTTAAGAGCATGTGCTTCAGAAGCAAATCGAGGTTTACATTCCGATACAGCCTCACCACCAGCTGAGTCTTGCATGTGGTTTTGGTCAAGTTAATTAACTTCTGTTCCTCAGCTTCCTAATGGGAAGATGGGCATATGGTGGATGAGATTGCTAGGGGCTGGGAAAAGACAGAACTTTGAGATAAATTGTGCATCCTTAAGCAAGTTGCTTAACCTCTGTTCCTTAGAGTCCACACGTGTAAACGGAAGGTAACAACACCATGTATACCACAGGGTTTTTGTTAGGTTAGATGAGATAACAGGTCAGTGTTCAGCGTGGTCTCCCATGCGTATTAAGGGTTCAGGAAAGATTAGCTGTCTGTGTTAACGGTAGTGCAGTTGCTATTGTTGTCAATGGTACTATTGTTTTTATTTCTACTATAGGAACTACTACCAAGTCCATTTTACTACCTTCACCCCTGCATCAGATGCTGATAAGAGTCAGGTCAGAGAAGAAAGCTGACAAACTTAGCAGGGGCCCTAAAAGTAGATTGCAGGGCACACCAGCACATTCACTTCATTACATTTTTGAGAGAAATGTCTGTGTTGTCCCAAAACATCAGAAAAAAATATAACCCAATATCTCTTCACCATACCTTCAGACACAGCTCAGACGGCATTCCCCAGCCTCCACGGAAGAGTCAAGCCTTATCTTTTGTTTCCAAGAAGCAGCCACCTACAGATGATCTGATCTCTTTAAGAAACAGGCATCAACTTGAACACTGTTGTGATTGCATCTCAAACCCATCAGCTGGTGAAAAGGGAGCTTGGATCAGAAGGTCTGAGCAAAATATGGAAAGAAAGATTACAAAGGATAGTGTCTATTGAAGGGTCAGGGACATGAAAGCAAAAGAGACCCAACCAATGGAATGAAAATGAAAAGTAATTGACAAAGACCATGCATAATTTTAAGGCTTAGGGAAAAGAAGAAAAGAAAAGCTCTAAGTACCTAGATGGAAGAAAACCATGTTTAGTAATTCCAGAGTTTTCTGTGAACTCAAAGGGAATATTAATTAAGATGGTACGAGTCAATTCAGGTAAAACAAGGATGAATCCACAGCCATATGTATGTGCGGATATATACATATTCATGTCTCTGTGTGTATGTGGGTGTGTGTAGCTATCTCTGGAATATAAAGAGAGGTAGGAGAATAATTCTAGTGTTCTGATTTATCTTGCTGAAAGGAATTGAAACTTTGCTATTAAGGGGAATTCCACATTGTTTTAGCACAGCAGTGCCAAGAAAATCCCCCAGATAAAATAAAGACTGGTTTTTCAATTTCCAGCCCAGTGAAAAGTGATTGAAGTTTTAGTTGACTATTAAATCATTTCTCAACTATATTTAAGTTTTTATAGAGTGAAGTGGGAGTATTATGCTCACATGTCTATCCATGCATGTAGTGGAAGTTTGACTTCCAAGTAAACAGTATGGTCTTTTCAAATACACACATTCTAAATCTGATACATCTTAGTGACTCAGAATGGTCACCTTGGAAAGCAATGTAATTATCCCAACGATTCTGCAATTGCTGAAAACTCTTTTGAAATACCACTTTTTCGTTTTTCTCATAGCTAATTATGAGTCCTGAAAAAAGAAAATCATTTATTTAATCAAATATATTTATCAAACACCTCCCGTGTATCAGGCATTGTGCTAAACAAGAATATGGACATCAGTAAGATGAGTCAAAGAAGGCTGATGGTGTTATTTATCGACTCAAAATAACAATACCAAGCGTGCCCTTCCATCTTATTTTTTAGACCTGGTTTTTTCCAAAAATCAGATCCACCCTCAAAGAATCAATGTGTGATACTACTAAGGGTATTCAACATTTATTGTCATTTTTGCAATGAGCATTTCTCAAATAGAAATTCCATCAAATGATGTGGGCAGTAGTGGATCATTGTTTGGTTTCCCAGGTGAACTACCTTTCAGGAGAGGACTCACTTTCCTGGCATTCTAGTATCGTTTTTAATCATTCACTGTACTTGCTATTTGCATATGTACTTTCAGTAGAGCGCATATTATTTACACACATCTACATACAAATTCTCCACCCTTAGCATATATCATATATCTCAACACATTTCTATTAGGGCACTAGTGGGATTCCTGGGGCTGTGGGCTGGCAGGATGCTCAATAATCGATTTTCATTTTCTCCCCTTTTTTCAGAATCCTAGGGAATCGGGTGGCTGAGCTGGAAAAAAAGTTAAGAACTCTGGAAGTTTCTGGTTTGTGGAGTCTTCCAGGTAAACAAAACTTTATGAAAACGATTTTCCTTTTTGTTTTTGTTTTTTTTTTAAAGAAATGAAGTTCCCACATAATTTACAAGAATATGCTACCTTTTTAAAAATTCTTTTATTTGGAGATCATTGCTGAAAACATCTATAAGTATTCTAAGTTTAGAAATTGACATGGCGGAGTGGGGGTGAAATCGGAAAAATGCAATAAATATTCAGGGTCTCATCTGTGGAACTATAACATTTTGCAAACCTGAATTCTGAAATTGTCACTGTGTCTGTATTTTTTTTTTAACTTTCATGGATGTAGTGAATTGTTTCTTTTAATCTGTAGATATCTTATAAGGATTTATTCAATTTGTTCAATTTAATTATTGGCCCTAAAACTGAATATAAGAACTTAACAAAGATTTGTGCAATCTAATCACCAGCCCTAAAATTGAATGTAAGAACATACAAAGATTTGTCCAATTTAATCACCAGTACTAAAAATGAAGATAAAAACCAACAATTTTTCTAACCCAAAATATATCCCACCACCTCCTTCTCTTCCCTTCTCCCATCCCATTTTTACTTAGCCTGAAAATGTGAATTTTCTGTGATTTTTTTTTCAGCCGTACATTGAGTTTGGAAGCTCTGGTGTTCCACTTTAATTAGCTGTACTTATCTCACTTGTCTTGGTAAACTACTCCTTTTGTGAGACCCCAGCCAGCCATTCCCTGTTGATATTTTACTCTTCAGAAACTTCTATTTACCATTTCCATCATCTCCCCTTTCCCTCGAAACCATGCTGTACATATACTTTCAGTTACTTAACCTTCTGCACAAACCAGTCTCCTTCCTTCTTGTATCATATGGATGCTTCCCTGGAGTGAACAATGAGTAAAAATTAGCACAGGGAGGCAGGTGGACAACAATATGTTTTCTGAAATATAAACCCAAATCGCTGCCTTAGGTTGCCTTTATGTGTGTTTCTTTTTCTTTTTTGAGACAGAGTTTTGCTCTTGTTGCCTAGGCTAGAGTGCAATGGCACTATCTCAGCTCACTGCAACCTCCGCCTCGCAGGTTCAAGTGATTCTCCTGCCTCAGCCTCCCAAGTGGCTGAGATTACAGGCATGTGCCACCACACCCGGCTAATTTTGCATTTTTAGTAGAGACAGGGTTTCTCCATGTTGGTCAGACTGGTCTCGAACTCCCAGCCTCAGGTGATCCACCCGCCTCAGCCTCCCAAAGTGCTGGGGATTACAGGCGTGAGCCACTGCACCTGGCATGTGTTTCATAAATTGGAATTTTTAGCAGTGATTCCTTGAACTTGATGTCAAAAGACCTAACAGAACTAATTAGTGCCGGGTACAGTCCTGGGGATTTGAATGATCCATTTCTGCACAAGAATCTTTTGATGCTCTTAAAACCTCATCTTCTATGAGGGCCTTTCTTTTATTGCGTTGAATTCCAACACAGGTGGGCGACTTGATCATGTATTTGTACAGTCAGACTGCCATTTCTGTGCGTGTACGGGGGTACAATTTTGATTTTTTTTTTTCTCAGAATGACTTGGTGAAATTTCTCACTGTTTCATTTCTACAATTTATATTAAAAGATGGAAGTTACACGAGTGAACAAATGCTGAGAATTTTCTACGGTTTTGTTTGGTCTAGGTACAACTTCAAATGGCCATTATGCAATAACAGTTATTTCCTTCTTTCCTTTTGCTGCCTGAAGGCCTGAGCTACAATGTTTCAGTAGGATTTGGGAGTATGTTCTGTTTAAAATCTCTGTTTTTGTGGCTAATATCAGCAGTGTATTATGTTGTCTCTGCATGTAAATAAGTAGAAATGCATTCCCTACCTTTCCTTGAACTTTTCTGATTAGAATTGTCAATTGAAAGAGAGAATTCAATTAGTACAAAACAAATATTAAAGGATGAAATTAGCTTTGGGGGTCTGGCTGAATGAATTTTATGCTGTGGCCCTGTGTGTTCTAATTTCTGGTCTCCACATAGATACAAAGTGGGAGGACAGGAAAAAGAGGGGCAGCTCCCCAGATCTAAGACAGCTTATGTCATGGCAATAGCATTGCCCTCCTGCAGTGATGCAGTATGTTATGATGAAGAATCGTGTTAAGATATTTTCAAACCATGGTGAAAGTAAAGGGAAAAGAGCCTCTTCTAGTGTAAATCAGATCAGTCTCTTCTGTCTGCTCATAGTCTTTTGTGTCTCCATTTAAACTACTAAATGGTAGAATAAGATGCAATACATTCTTTTTCGCCCCCTCCTCCTCTTCCTCTTCTTTCTTTCCCCAAGTAGGAGTCAAATCATAGTGTTTAGCCAGCTTGAAAGCAGAATCCCAATGACATCAAAGAATTGCCAACTCTCTCCCATTTACCATCACCTGGAAAGAATCCATGTCTCTTCCAGTAATCAGCCCATCGATGTGTTGGTATCCTTTTAACACTTCAGCATTGACTTTGTGAATTCAGTTCTGTACCAGGTGTGCTAGACATGCTTATCGCCCTCTACAAAAGCCTACAGTTCCCTTAGGGAAGGAAGATGAATACATGTCAAGCAGTGAGAGGAAAGGGAAAAATGGCCTATAATTCAGTGCTAAATTAGTGATAAAGATTTTGTGCGTGTGTGTGTACTTTTTACAGTGGTTAGGGCTAGAGTGGGTGCAGTAGTGTAAAGAAGTATGGAGGGTGTCAGCAGTTGTAGCAGGCTTCCCTTTAGTGGTAGCCCTGAGCCAATTAAGTGTGTGGGACTAAATGTAACCTAACTCCACTGATGATATAAGACATCCATTTTTCCCTTTTCTACAACAGGGGGCAAGGACACCATACTATTCAGTGACCCCACTCTTCCTAGTGGACAGAGGTCAAGATCCCCACTGCTGAAGTTTGTTGAGCAGCCCCCTGAGAATAAAGTGGACCCCAAGGATGGTAAGCATGCCTCGATTTCTCCATCTTTACCTGGACTATGCCGGCCACAGAGGAGTGGCTCAGTGGACATCAGTCTCCTCCCCTTCCCCTTCCTGCTGCTGCTTCGACATCACTGGGACATTCCTCAGATTTCCTCTTGTTGCTTGTGTGGGTTCATCTTGTTGGGAGATTTTAACTGAAAAACACAGGCCCCTGCTCTCTGGGCATGGTGGCAGAAAGGTTAAGAGAGAGGACCCTGGGCCGGGTACAGTGGCTCACACCTGTAATCCCAGGTCTTTGGGAGGCCGAGGTGGGTGGATCACCTGGGCTCAGGAGTTCAAGACCAGCCTGGCCAATATGGTGAAATACTGGGGAAGATGAGGTAGGAGAATCGCTTGAACCCAGGAGGCAGAGGTTTCAGTGAGCTGAGATTGTGCCACCACCCTCCAGCCTGGGCAATAGAGCAAGACTCCATCTCAAGTAAATAAATACATAAATACTTACATACACACAGAGTGAGGACCCTGGAGTTCACAGTCAGTTCCACATCACATTGGTTATGAGAACTTGGGCTGGAGACTTCAGCCACAGTTTCCTTTCCTTTAAAACAGTGACATGATCATGCCAACCTCAGGGAAATCTTGCACATTGCTTGGTACATGGGAAGTCTGTGAAGCAATAGAATAGAGAAAAGCTCCTCCTCTACCAGACAGACAGTTCTGGAGGCAGGGTGTTCTGAAAGGGATCAAAGACCCATATAGAAACCCAGATGAGCCAACAGGTGTGAGAGCCTGATCTCTTCCCATGTGGGAGTCTTGTCTCCCCAACAAACTTCTTATCTTCTGAAGCTTTGCTTGTCTTCTTCTGCCACCCCAAGTGTGGCAGCCAGCTTCTGAGAATGCACCAAATGCTCCCTGCCCCTTGATATTCATGCCCCCGTGTAACCATCTTCCATGTTGAATCAGGATCGGTCTGTTTGATTAATAGAATACAGAAGTGAGGGTATGTGACTTCTACAGTTAGGTCATAAAAGACAAGAGGCTTGTGCCTTGGGCTGTCTCTTGGGTCGTTCACTCTGGAGGAAGCTGGCAGCCATGTCATGAGGACACTCAAGCAGCTAGCCACACTGTTCATGTGGCATGGAGCTGAGGCCTCCAGCCATCAGTCACTTGAGTGAGCCATCCTGGAAGGAGATTCTCCAGCCCTAGTCAAGCCTTCAGATGCCAACAGTCCTGGTCAGCATTTCTTGGGCACCTCATGAGAGACCATTAGCCAGAACCACCCAGCTCAACTGTTCCCAGACTCCTGAGTCTTAAGCTGCTAGGTTTGATATAATTTGTTACACAGCAATAGATAACCAATATACATCCACATTTCTTCTCCATTTTCTCTTGCTCAGACTCTTGCATTTACTCATTACCTCCATAAAAATACTCTCAAAGTTACTATAAGGAAATATGCACACGAATGTTCATTGCAGCACTGTTTACAATATCAAAGACTTAGAACCAACCCAAATGCACATCAATGATAGACTGGACAGGGAAAATGTGGCACATATACACCATGGAATACTATGCAGCCATAAAAAACGATGAGTTCGTGTCCTTTGTAGGTACATGGATGAACCTGGAAACCATCATTCTCAGTAAACTGACACAAGAACAGAAAATCAAACACTGCATGTTCTCACTCATAGGCAGGTGTTAAACAATGAGAACACATAGATACAGGGAGAGGAGCATCACACACTGTGATCTGTCGGGGAAAATAGGGGAGGGACAGTAGGGGGTGGGGAGTTGGGGAGAGATAGCATGGGGAGAAATGCCAGATATAAGTGATGGGGAGGAAGGCAGCAAATCAGAGTGCCATGTGTGTACCTATGCAACAATCTTGCATGTTCTTCACATGTACCCCAAAACCTAAAATGCAATTAAAAAATAAATTTAAAAAAATGCTCGCAAAGTACTTTTCCCCCACAGGGTTTCATCTGCAGAGTTACACCCCACATTTCCCAGAGCCCCAACTTGCCTTGCCCTGAATACTCTGTGGACTTCTTAAGCACAACATCACCAATTCTTCCTGCTTTCTTCCTTCTGTTTTTGTCACCCTCTTAGCTTCTCAGGCTCGAAACCTTGGAGCCATCAACCACTGTCAACCTTCCGTCTCCAACTCCATGTGGTCTTTCACTCAACTCTTTCTGCAGTTTTCGCACCTGGGGGCCTGCCACCTCTGGCATGGTTCAGGCCCTCGTTTTCTTGTCGGAAGGGCTTCTCTCCTGGTTTTTCACCCTCCCTGAGTCTCCTTGCTTTATTCCTGTCTTCATCCTGCTACCGTAGAATAAAGCTTTTGGAGTACTGTTTGCATCACATTTGTGCCCTGCTCAAAATCCCAAGTGGCTCTCCACTGTCTTCCACTTAACATCTCAATTCTGCAGCCTGGCCTAGCCTACCTTTCCACCTCATGATTGTCTGCCCTAAAAACTGTGCTCTCATCTAAATGGACCAACCAGCTGTATCAGTTCACTATTACTGGGTAACAAACCAACTCAAAATATAGAACTTAAAGCAACAACTATGTATTGTTTTCACGAGTCTTTGGGTCAGATGGGTGGTTCTGCTAATCCAAGTGAGGCTCTGCAAGGCTCTCTCTTGTATATGAATGAGGGAGCCCTGCAGAGCTGAGTTTAGATTAGCAGAACTGGAACCACCCATCTGACCCAAAGACTCATGAAAAATAATATGTAATTGTTGCTTTAAATCACTCATAATAGTGCATGGAGTGGTAAGAAGACCACTTTGTATAACCGGGTAAGAAGACCCAGATGAGCCAACAAACAGGTTTGAGAGCCTGATCTTACATGAGGCCGTAATAGTGCATGGAGTGGTAGAAGCCAGGACATAGCTGAGGTTTGAACGGAAATATTAGCCCCACCAAGTACATGTGGGGAGAATTTCTAGAGAAAGACCCTGACTTTAATTAATTCCACACTGGCCAGAAACCAGGGTCAAGTCTTTGCAGCCAGCCTCATGTGGCTGACTGTGAGGCTGGCCTGGAACACTGTGGCCCACCGTGTCATTTGGAGCATGTTTTGGCTGGTGATTATGCCATGCTGAGATCCAGTGTCCATGTGGAGATCCAAAGCCTTCTGTCTGTTCTGGGCTTGCTGAGCCTCAGGGTGGACCTGGGCCTGCTAACCTGAAATGGAGCATGAGCCTGGCTTGATTTTCACAAGGGCAGTGTAAGTAGTGGACCGATTCAAAATGATAGCTTCCAGAGTTGTATCCTTAGCTCTCATTGTTCCTACCCCGTCCTCCGACAGCGCTGGGTGGGAACAAGGAAGCCTTTACGCTGTGACTGTCAGCATCGGGGATGGCCTCATCACTGTCACATCTATGATCAATTCCAACTGAAAGCGGCACACACTTAGGAGGACCAAGCCTATCAGAGAGCAGTTAACAAAGGAAGATGCATAGCCCCTTCGGGCCAGTGGTGGAGGGAAGGCACATTTTTGGGTGATTAGCCATCTTTTAAACAAAGAGATACTGTTTCTTTATCTTTTAGAGAAAATATTTTTCTCTTTCCACACTATTTGTGTCATAATGTGTTTGTGTCGGTTGATTGCCTTCTTATCATTGATATGTGCATTAATAAGTATTAACGATAATTCTGCTTGCTAAAACAACATAGAATAATTACTGTTATTTGTAATATTTTCCCACTCTTGGTTGCTTCAGAAATCTTTTATAGAAATAGCAGTTATGTGTCTGTCCTTAAAAATAAAATGCCCACAGCTTAAGAGTTAAGATTATAGAATCTTTAAAGGAGGATTTTGCTCCCACAGCAAGTAACCAGAGGTCACAGTGATAGCTCAACGTTTGGGACATTTTTAGTAACTGCTTTTTGTCTCCTGATAATGACTTGAGTATAATTTTTCAGTATCTTTTGAATTAAAAAAAATAGGCTGGGAGTGGCTCATATTTGTAATCCCAGCACCTTGGGAGGCTGAGGTGAGAGGATCACTTGAGGCCAGGAATTTGAGACCAGCTTGGGTAACATAGCGAGACCCCATTTCTACTAAAAAATTTAAAACATTAGCCATGAATGGTGGCACATGCCTGTAAGTCCCAGATACTCCAGAGGCTGAGGTGGAAGAATCCTTTGAGCCCAGGAGGTTGTGATTGCAGTGCGTTGAGATCATGGCACTGCACTCCAGCCTGGGACCATGTGAGATCCTGCCTAAAAAAAAAAAAAAAATTTTTAAGTGGGGGAGTGGGTTGGTAAATCCTCCTGTTGACTTGTTACAGTTCAATTCTAGATCCTAGCTCCTGTCGCTCTGTGATCCTGAGGCTCTGAAAATCTAGCCTTTCTCAGAAAAAGTAAACAGAGTAGGATTCCAGCCTGAGTTCATTCCTCTCCTTACTGTGGTTGTGTTTTAACCTCTAACGAGGATAGCAGTGTCGGCCCCACACGCACCCCCCACACCCCCTGCTTAAAAAGTTCTCCCTGCTAATCTCAGAGGTTTACCATATTAAAAGAGACTCATACATTTGGACATGAGCAGAATGTCATCTAGCAAAATGGCACAAGGCAAAATACCAGCAAGGGAAAGTCCCCTGTGTAATTTAGACCACCTTCACTTAGATGTAAATTAAGGAAGAGAAGATTAACCTGACCTACAGTAAAAACACACTGCAGATGGTTTAGGAGTTAGGTTGTTACAAGTAAGGTTAATTAATTTTTCAGGGGCAACAGAATATACTATTAAGTGTCCTGGAAGAAGTAATTTCATAAGAGTAATTTCCAGAAGGAGTTTATTCGTCTCACGTTGGTGAAAAATTTAGCTGCTGAGAGTACCGTAATTTACTCCTTTTAAATAAAGCTTCCCCACCGTACTGGAAACTTGCTCATTTTGACCCACTGTTTCTCATGTCCTCTGTGCCACCACTATAAAAATTTTCATCTGTTAGTATGAAAATTATATGATTGCTTCCCTGAGCTACCTTAGATGTAGATAAATG